ATGGATGGATATGGATGGATATGGATGGATGTGGATGGATATAGATAGATATAGGTAGATATAGATATCACCACGTAATCACCACTATATAGAACACTTCCCCAGGCCTGATGTCTTGTCCCCCGTCCGTGTGTCTGTAACGCCTCACGCCGTGTAACACCCGTGCTCTGTGTATTGTTTCTTGACTTTTTGTTTCCACCTCTCTGTCAAGGCACAGTGGACAAAGTGCGTCATAGGACCTGTGTCCGCTATGCTAAGAATGTTTGAAGCAGCGGCTGCCTGCTGCTTGTTTTCTTGCAGTTGTTTTGTAGCCGATGTTCATGGGGCCTGACCTTCGAAATTCAGGAAGAACTGAGAAGCTGTGACCTTCAAGCAAGCGGACACGATAAATTTGACAACAGCGAGTTTTAAATCACCTAGCCCGGGATGATGTGTATAATCATGTCCAGGGTCCAGTACGGCCCGTTGAAGTTCATTTGGTGCGTAAGGAAAATGTATTGCACTTCCTTAATGTGGATGTGTTCACTTTGGAAAACGACCTTGATTGGAAGGCGTTACGTACCAAACTGCACAGGCCTGACTAGCCCGATCCTGACTGTCCATCATAATTACCATTTTGGCCAATGACAGCTTGGTAATTATCGGTTCGGCCAATGAGAGAGCGCATTTTATGTATTTATTTTGCATTAATACTATTTGTTCAGAGGTGGACAGGGCTATTGTATCGGTTTATAGTAGACAGAGTTTGGCTTGTGTGTGTGTGTGTGTGTGTGTGTGTGTGTGTGTGTGTGTGTGTGTTTGTGTGTGTGTGTTGTATAGAATTTTCCACACACATTTTCACAGATTATTACCTTCTCCACGAAGGTTATGTTTTTGGTAGCGTTTGTACGTGTGTATGCTGTTAAGCAAAATAACTTGAGATGGATTTTCATGAAACTTGGTACGTGGTTAGGTCTAGACCCATTGAAGAAACGATTAAATTTTGGACCCCTTTTGGTTGTTCTTGGTACTGCAGCAAAATGTCTGCAGTTGGTATGTTGTGTTCTGGGCATGTTGGGGTACGATTTTTTGGCGACAGATAGCTCTTTGTGTCTCACAGAAGTGGTGTTGTTTTAGAACTGATTATTTATCCCAATTATCTAGCACCGTAATCTATTTCAATGTAAAGTGTTTTTCTTGGGATAATTGTATCTTTTTATTTATTTAACTTATTAGTAAACAAATGGGATGGCAGGGGTGTTATCCCATTTTTTTACTAAAAGGTGATGTTTTAGGTTCCCCTGCAGTTTTTTTTAATTGCTGAGACCAATGCCGTTTTATTTTACTTTTGAAGGTTATAACTCGAGGAGTTAACATGTAGTCGTGATCTTTGGTATGTAGGTAGCTTAAGTGATGATGGCTGATAAAATGCTAATTATGCAAATCAGGAAGAATTTGCATAATCGATGAGGAACTATAGATAAGTTGGGTTCCGTTATAGGATTTTTTCAAACATGTGACGTGTGTAAATAAGCAAGAGGGGAACGTTAACATCTATAGATATTAATTATGCAAATGATATGAAATGCTATGATGCCATGATGATAAATGGCGGGAATTAAGTACAGTGAACAAAGTTCAACATAAATCATGTTACATGGGCCATCATTTGTATAATAGATGAGAAAATGCTACAATAACCTTCTTTGTTTAGAGTTTTTATCATTGGACAACTTTTTTATTAAACAAGACCAATAAGGCCACACCGCCTTAATTCTATGGATGACATCCGCGCGCGCATTGATTTTCGCCAAAAAAAAAAAAAGATCACGTCCTCCGACCCAGGATAGTCCATGGTACTAGTAGTTAGCGACAATAGGGAGCCGGCGATAACTCTGGGGGGCGGCACCCAGGCTACCGAAGCTCCAAGACTCAAGATCTCAACATACATCGCAGAGTGGAACTCACTGTCACCAAGTACAGTAGGGGCACTGTCAATAGATAGCTTTAAACAATGTCTAGAGCTAGAAGTACAAGGGTTAGGTGGAACAAGTCGATCGGTGTAATATAGCCAGCTGCCGCCGCGCCGCGTGCCTGCGAAGCTGGTGTGTTACGCCGAAAGGCGGTTATACCGGCTATACAGATACAGATACAGATACAGATACATACAGTGCCGATTCATAAATTCTACAAAAAGCCAGCATGTGCCGGCTTGCCGTATACGTCGCCATGTACTGCCGCAAATTCCCAGATTTGTATTCCTGTGGTTTAGTAGCATTTCTATTTTTGGCCGGAATTTTTTTTATTCGCCCGCGCGCACTAGTTTGGGGGTCCTCAGAGGATGTCATCCATAAAATTAAGACGGTGTGGCCTAACTGAAGAAAATTAAACTGTTCTCCAACTCAAAAAACATCTACATCAACCTTCACTCAACCGTGACGGGGGGCGGCACCGACTTCCGACGAACTTTGACCTAGTGCGACGTCACACGTGGTTAAAAGTCACGTGTCCACAGCACGTGGGTCATAAAGCTGATTAAGACTGAGCGATTCAGTCGAAAATTTTTGGTGACTTAATTTCTTTTTGAGTTGGAAAGCAGTTAAATTTTCTTCATGTATTTTACCAACACAGATGAAATTTTATGCTAAGACCAATAACTGTTATGCAAATCAGGATCTTACTTGCCTAATTAATGAGAAACCTTTTTGATACTTCATCCATGAAAGTTAACATCATTTGGCGAAGATATTGGCTCGTAGAACTCTAGCTTATAACGTGTGTGTTTGGATTTATTGGGCTAGTTTCGAAGCACATTTAAAAATGGTTTCATAGCCACATATCACTTGGTGATAAGCAGCTAGATATCATATTCATTTCTTAAACCAGATGTTCTCAATTAGGGAAAGCTTTGATATATATCACGTGCACGAACTTGGTCAAACGGGGACATGGGCGCTACTGCTGAGCTTTTACCGTTACCCGTTGATATATTCAAGAGCCCTGTAGTAGGGCTAAGGATAGTAGACATATCAGGGTTCTTTATACACACGAAACTACATGTACATGTATGTCGTCATTTTAAACAAAAAGGGTTGTGTCACGCCCGGCACATTGCATAAAGGTTGGAAAGAGTGTTGGTGATAGAAAAATCATGATAAACAGACGGCAAAATAAAACAGACGACAAAATGACACGATGACATAGAACCATATGTAGATATTAGGAATATTTGCAAGAGCTGCGTGCGTTATACTGATGAACAATTTAAACAGGAAATATATTAATAGAAAGTGAGGCAAAAACATGGTTAGGAATTAAGTCCACTCTTGAGTTGATTTGCTGTAACGTTTTGAGTGTCTACCCGCGCATATACATGTACTAGTTATGACAACTAGACCATTCTGGCGCATATCCCACTAGCAATAAAAACGATGACCCAACGTTTCCATGTAGAATTTGTCTGGTTGTATTAAAGGCATCCAACACAGTTTTTAGGGCTTGGAAACCTGATTTTTCAAAGTCAATATTCTAGTTGTTAATCTACATACTGAGTTGAAACCACACTGTCCCAATGTATATTGACCCTCATGGAGCAAAAATTCCATAAATTCTGACGAAAATGTAACTGGAAGGGCCTTTGGCTAATTTTTTGGGTACCTTCCAGAAAATAAAGGACTCATATCTTGCGGTTTGTTTCTGCAGTTATAAAAGCCCAAGGTATGAAATACTGACTCAAATGTGCTAATGTCAAGCAGTATGTGTGAATATGACAAAGATTGTCTTATTCAGAATATCTCCATTTTTGCTGCCATGAAATCGCATTGGATGCCTTTAATGTGTATACTTGTGGCGTTGGTGTTGTAGCTGTACTACACGTACAAAGGAATGATTTCATGGCAACCAACAAATAGGAATAAATCATTCATTTGTGGAGAAACGGCGCTAGGACTGTGTCCACATGTTTTTTGTATACGTTTTGTCTTTGCTTTGATATTACATTAATTTCGGTCGCATCACTTGAGGTCAACCATATCTCTGTTGAACACACGTACGGGAGTTTGGGCAGAATGGAACGTTATCACGTAGTGGCGCGATTTCCGTGTTTGTAATTTTTATGGTTGACATCAGCGCGCGCATTTATTTTCGCCTGATTTTGGGGAAAAAAAACAAGAAATTTTGTTGCCTTCTGACAGTGGTCAACATGCCGAAAATGGGCAAAGATGCCTGTTGCCATGCCGAAAGGTGGGTGGCAGATAACTATGAAGAGAGGAGACAAGAAAATGCTCTGATTTAATGTTTTGTTTCTTACTTTGATGCAGTGATATGTGATGCTGGCTGTGTATATGTCATGTTCCCACTGAATCAAAATCATTTGTACAATGATTGAGTCAAAATTTTAAATTGTAGGAACCTTGTTTTTTCGGCCCGCCTTGTTTTTTTTTCGCCCGCTCGCATTAGATTTGGAGTCTGCGGAGGATGTCATCCATAAAATTTACTTGCTGTGGCCTAAAGTATGCGCTATCACCTGGCACACAGGATGGGACAGTCATGCAATAAACATGCAATTTGTAATTACAACCAACAACGGATAGCACCACTGGATAAGCCATTTGCAATTGGGCCGCTGTAAACCAATTTTGGGGCTGCAGATTTTTACTTAAGTTTCTCTTTTCGGGCAAGGGAGCGACGTCCTTGAATAACTCCAAATATTGCGTGTACATTTTTTAAACGTTTTTATGCTGTAACTAAAAGATCTTAGTCTTACGAGCAGTAATATAGTTCCCTGCAAACAAGTATTCTTAACCAAAGGATTCAGAATTATGTGCAATATTATATGTCTTTGTGAGCGTTTTAAAAACAAAGTGTCTGTAAATTGACTGCAATTCAGTGATATTCTCACTGCGATAGCTCAATAAAGATATCTTGAATCTTGTACATGTCCTTGTTTTTTTCCTTTCAGAAGCCATGATTCCTTGAACTTCAAATGAGTTTTGATATGTTCTCTTGCACAAAGATGGGCATATAAATTCACTGCAATAAAATGAATTGAATTGCGAGACAAAAACACATGTGAAGGAGACTGCTCAGAAAATTTCACTGTTTATATAGAATATGTCACTAGTCTGTGGTGTACAATATTTCTCTGCTAGAGGCTAATTAGCCCCCTCTCCGTGAGGCCGGTTAACTCAGGTGGGCAGCCAGGGAGCGATGCAGTCAGGCTAAAATATTCACACTAGTCAAACCAGGTCATGCCAGTGCGTCACAAAATCCTCCTTAAGCGGGAGTTCTAATGAAATATGGGAATGTAATATCATGGCGCGATCTCTGGCAATTACTTTTCGGTTGGTGCAAGACAAAGATAGTGCAGCTAGCCTGTCGGGGATTCCATGCACATGTGATAAAACTTAATAATACCCGCGCTGTAAGGCGCGGTGATATATTTTACAGCCATATACAAACACTTATCTTACACCATAGTGACTTAGAAGAAGTGCAGTAATACTTGCGATGAGGGGTTGTTGCCGCGGATATTGTGTTGTTTAGCGCACGTACACATTTCGTATCGGGGTCGTATTTTACGTCCCCCTGTAATCGTAGCCCATTCAAGGTGGTGCCTGTGGTCAAAGGCGGTCATTCATAGGGTCCTGGAGAGGTTAGATTGCACAGTAGGGAAGCCTAGCAGGGTCACGCACATACAATTGTTGCCGGTACACCATTTAGGCTGGAGTATTTGTCAAGCCCCCGAGGAGAGAGATATACGCGGTCACTTAAACACCATTCTTCCTGTCAAATATGGTGTGCAGGTGGAGCGTACCCTACGGGCGGACAATAAGAGGAAAATACCGCCTCTTTTGTTCCAATGTTTGCACCGACTCTTCCTGAATATAATGGCGAGTGAAGACTATCTCGGGTTCCAATCTCTGCTTATTTTCCTCCGTTTGCAGCCAGCGTTCAATTCGACAAACTCCCGCTTGAGTTGGTAAAAGCGTTCGGAACTGCCCCTCCGTGGCGCAGCCGGGTTGACCAAAGCCCTGCGATCTGTTACAGAAGCCCTACGATAACCTCGTATAACGTTAAGTGCGATGTCCCCTACAAACTGTAATGTCTCTTGCCCCCATGTTTGTAAGCGCGTCCATGCATAATCTTTCCAAGAGAGCACTTTGTCCCAGAGCCAGTACCTTTGTATGAGAAGTTCTCGTTGAACTTGGGCTCGTAACTCGCCGTCCAATAAGCGTGCCATGTCGTGGTCTGCGGCTAGGTCTGCGGGCAGGTCCCCCTCGGCGGTTTGCAAGGAAAGGTCTGCCCCGTGCAGCAACAACAAACCGACAACGTCGACGAAGCCTGCGGCGGCGGCCGTGTGAAGGGGGGTGCACCCGTTCACGTCCGGGACGTTACAATCCGCGCCGTGAGTTAACAGCACCTTGACGCAGTCCACGTCGTGTTGTAGCACCGCCAGGTGTACCGCCGTCAGCCCGGTGTGCGTGGTAGCGTCCACGTCCACGGTGTTCCGCCTCAACGTCAGGATCCGGCCAAGTTCGGCGGCGTCGCCCTCGTGTACAACCGAGTGGAGAACCACGTCCAATGGGAAGGCGATTTTTCTCCCTTCCGTAGGGTAGGTCATCGTTGGCTGCCTCTCCAACTAGCCTGGCTTCACGTCATTTTGAAGGCTCATACCCGGCCTAAGGCCTCCCAATCGATCCCCCAGCCCAACAGCTTGGCATCCAAAAAGCAGCTGCAAGTCAGTCAGAATCCAGCAGAGCAACAAAATGTCGTTTCACTCGTGCAGGCTCGCCAGCCGCCCGTTTTTGGAGCGGAGCCAGTTGTGTGTACCCGGCGGTGCGGAAGGCCAGAAGTTTCCCGGTTTGCACGCCGCTCGTGACGTCAACTAGTAATTGTCTGGTGGGGTGTGCAGAGGGGTGTTTATTTGCGCTGAGCCGCCCCAAGGCCTCTTGAGGACAGGGGTGGCGAGTTAGACCTGTTTTGGTAAACCTATCCACCCGTGTTGTTGTTATTACGGACTGTACTAACACCAATGGTCAAGGGACCTACCGGTGACGATAGGTCCCAGAAAATAAAGGCACAGGCGACCTATCGTTTGAGGCAAATCATTCTCTTTTCCCTTCCAAACTTCTGTGCCGGTGTGAAAATCTTTCTTTAGTCCTTCAACAAATCAAAGGCACTTAGCGCGGAAAGACTACAGGCGTGGTCTGCAACCAATCAGCTTGCATATAGACAAGGACATTACTGATTTGATTACCTGACCTGTTTAACCTTTATGACGTCAAGGTCACAAAGGCGTAATGGGGTGACACACACAGGGGAGAAAAACTACTAAAGTAATTATAACGCTCCCAGTTTGTATAAAACGTTGTGACTTATTGGCCCCTGTAGTTTTTATTCCAGATTCTGTATCTGTCTAAATTGTCTGGTACTGTTTTTAGTCGCAGTTGTGACGGAGGTGGTCGGTTCTTACATGTAAACCACAAAGGTGTGATGTCGTCGGGATATTAGGCCACACCAATTTAATTTGCTGTTTCTCGGATTCGCCCTGTCCATTGTTTTCTAATTAGCAAAAAAATATTAAGGTTCTAAATCAACAGCAAAATGCTCAATGAAAGACATATTTTGGCCCGGCCCCAAAGGTTGAACAAAGTCCTTTTCTTCCTAGTTGTTAAAGTTTTGCAATGTAACTAACATGCAACTTTGTTTCATTAAAAGTTAAAAATTTATTGTTTTAATTATAAACTAGCCTGGTATGTTGACTTCATGGCTCATATCGTAACATTTCTGGCTATCATGGGGTGCCTTGGCCTGTTTTGTTTTTATTTCGCCCTGTCGCTCCATGTTTTTTTCTAAAAAAAAAATCCAAGAAACAACAAATTAAATTGATGTGGTTTAAGGTGATTGTATAACTCCAATTTGCCACAAATTAAGATAATCCATAAAACAGCTTTGGTAAAGTCTCGCTTGACGAGTTTTTTCTCGTACATAAAGCCACGCCCCCTTAGGTTTAAAGTCCGAAGTGCAAGAAACACAATGTACACTGAAAAAGAAATCAAATTTCGACAGGCTGAAGATAGAGTAGGTAGCAACACCAAGTGGCATAAAACTAAATTAGATTTTTGCAACAAAGCGCAGATAGTCTGACCTGGTGAAACTATGAGCTTTTGTTCGAGACTCTCATGACTTACAGAAACGTATGTCGCTATTTTCCAAAGCGATGCAAATGATTTTATTATCTCCGAGTTCTTTAAGTATTATTACCTCCATGAAAAATGGAGGTATTGTTTTTGGCGTGTCTGTCTGTGTGTGTGTCTGTCTGTGTGTGTGCTTGTGTTTCCGCGCATTTGTAGTCAGCATAACTTCATAACGCTTTTATGGATTATGATGATATTTGGTATGTTGGTAAGTCTTAGGAAGACAAAGGTCAATGTCAAATATGGTCCTCCTGGTGGATGACCTTGGTACTGCAGCAGAACTTCCGGTTTTTGTATCTTTTGTCCTGAACATGCTATGGCCTTGACTTTTTGGTGACAGATAGCTTTTACTGTCAGGAATACGTGGTGTGAGTTTGGTCCCCCTAGCAGCTTGTTCTGGAACTGCAGGGCACTTTCTGGCGAAATCTTTATAAAAGCCAATAATTATTATTATAAGTCCAGATAGGAACAACGTATTTTCATCGTTTTTGGTGTGTAGGTATCCTCGGAGAGAGACTTGTACATAATAATCTATGACTCTTTAGTGGTAAATGATGGAAAATTCATACTTGGGACATGTGTAAGTTAATGAAAAGTTAACATCACGATGCATATATTATGCTAATGTAGAAGTCATTTCCTTATATTAGTTAAAGAAGAAATTTTCATTTACATGTGAAGCCCATATTTCATGGAGGTATGGGATCTTGGAACTCTTGTTTTCGATGTTTTATTGTGCGTATGTCCGTAGGTCCCAAGGCACGAGGTCCATTTTGATGACGTCATTTGGTCACGTGATTACACCAAGAAAGCTACTCATACAGACTTGCTATCATACATCAAAATAAACTTTGGTCATTGCAGATTCAAAAAATCTATGGTAGCACTGGTCCGTCTCGGTGGTACAAAAAACGGTCTCGGCCCATCGACTATATGGCTCGTGCACTTCCAGCCTCTCAGCGGAGAAGGTTTCTGTACTACATTTGTAGGTCTGTCGTAGTACGCCAGATCATGCTTTGGTTGGGCAATAAATTACAAAACAAGCCGCTAGGGGACCCAAACTCATGTCACTTCTTCCCTATCCCAAGAGCTATCAGTCATACAAAATTCGTGACCCTGTTCAGATCACGAGATATCAAAACCGGAAGTTCTGCTGCAGTACCTAGGAAAGCCGCCAGGGGGCCCAAAATCTAATTATTTCTAGGTCTCATGAAGACCTACCCACCTACCAAGTTTCATTCCAATCCATCCACTGCTTCTCGAGTTATCTTGCTAAACCACACACAC